CTTAGACTCCTGATCCCTTGCTTTAGCACTTCTGATGACCACCATGGTCCTTTCAGCCCTCTGGGAGCTCCATCCCTTCAACACGGGCCCCTCATGATGGTGGTGGGGCCCAACACTGCTTCCTGGAGCCAGCAAAAGCTTGCTGAGTTTAAAGATATGGCTACATTTCTTTGGCCCTTGCCACTGGGTAAAAGAGAAGGCTGGAACCCCTAAGTCACGTTGGGGGGCTGCCTTCGGGTCTTCTGGTAACTCAATGGGTGAGAGCCCTGTCTTCAAAGTTTCTGTGAATTTTGTAGGGTCAGCATACTGTTGGAAGATCAAATCCAAGACCTCACACATTAGGCCCAAGCGGGCTCTGAATGACTCTAGCCCATGCTACACGGTTAGTAATGGCTGCTCACCAACTGCCAAATGACTGCAGTATTTGGCTCTGTGCTTGGATTTCCTCCTATTCGGGGAAAGGGTGAGGCAATTCCAGAAACTAAATATGACTGGCTATCCTGCACACTTCCTCACTAAAGAGCAACCACAAAGGAAGGGCATTCTCTGCCCTGGGCCTTCCGAAGAGTCATTCCGTGCAGCCAGGGCAACCTGCAGAGGAACTTTCTACAGAGCAGAAGCCCATAAGTTCAGAGACCATAGCACACAGGTTAGGGTTGAGTTAGGGTTAGGGTTAGGGTTGGGTTAAGGTTAAGGTTGGGGGTAGGGATAGAGTTAGGGAAACAGGATTAGGGGTTAAGCTTGGAGTTATCATTAAGGTTGGGGTGCAGATTAGGGTTACAGTTGGGAATTCAGGTTTAGAGTTGGGGTTAGAGTTAGGTTTAGGTTTGGGGTTAGGGTGATGCATAGGTTTAGGATGAGGGTTGGGATTAGGGTAATGCATAGGTTTAGGGATAGGGTTGGAATTAATTTTAGGGTGGATTTAGGGTTTGGTTGGGGTTACGTTGGAGTTATATTTAGGATTGGGATTATGGCTCAGATTGAGGTTGGGTTTGAGCTGGGGTTAGTGTTGGGATTACTGTTAGGGTTAGGGGTGAAGCTAGGGTTAGGGTTGAGATTTGGGTTAGGGGTTAGGTTTAGGCTTAAGGTTAAAATTAGGGTTATGGTTATGGTTAAGGGTTAGCATCAGGGTCAGGTAAAGGTCAGATTCAGGTGTAGGGGTCAGGGGCTAAGGTTAGGTTTGAACCTAGGGTTATGGTTCAGGTAAAGATAAGGTTAGTATTTAGTGTTAAATTAGTTTTAGGTTTTGTGTTTCAGTTGGGCTGTAGCTTTGGTTAAGGTTGTGGTTAGATTTGGGTTTAGAGAAATACTCCCTGACCTCCATATTATCTCTAGAGCATGCATTCTGGGAAATAAGCAGAAGAAACAACTGAAAGCCCTCATCGTACTTCATTCGGGAGAGACGGTTCAAGGAGGCATGAAAGTTGTCTAATATTGTTAGGGTTTGTGGGTAGGGTTTGGGTTTCTGTTAGAGATGGCTTAATGTTAGGGTTAGGGTTGGAGCTAGGGTTAGGGTTATTGTTGGCCCTATATTTAGGATTAGGGTTGGAGCTAGGGTTAGGGTTAGCATTGTGTTTAGGCCTTTGGTTGTTGTTAGGGTTAGGGCTAGATTTGATTAGGGTTAGGGATTAGGATTAGGGTTAGTCTTGGATTTAGTTTTAGGGATGAGATTGGGATTGGGTTAATTTTAGTGTTATATTTCTTGTTTAGGTTAGGGTTGGGGATACAGTTAAGGTAAACATTGGTGTTTAGGCTTGGGTTGGGTTGGGTTAGAGTTAGGTTTGGTTTTACATTTATGGTAGCATTGGGGTTTAGGCTGGTGTTTGATTTGGGTTAGGGTTTGGGTTTGGATTGATGCTACAGTTAACAATAGTATTGGTGTTTAGGTTCATGTTTGGTTAGGGTTAGTGTTAGGGTTGGGTCATGGTTTTGGGTAGTTTTGGTGTTTAGGCTGCTGTTGGATTTCGGTTAGAGTTAGGGTTTGTTTTACAGTTAAGGGTAGCATTGGTGTTTAGGCTGGTGTTGGATTTGGGTTAAGGTCAGGGTTTTGACTGGGATTACAGTTAAGAGTAGTATTAGGGTTTAAGCTGCTGTTGCGTTTGGGTTAGGGTCAGTGTTTGGACTGGGGTTACAGTTAAGGGTAGTATTGGGTTAGGGTTATGGTCAGGGTTTGGATTGGGGTTACCGTTATGGGTAGTATTGGGGTTTAGGCTGGGATTGGGGTCGGGGTTTGGGAAGCAGTCCATGACCTCCAACTTAGCTCTGGTCTTTACACTGAGAGGGAAGTAGAAGAAACAATGAAAGCCCTGGAGGTTTTTCCTCTTTGAGGAAAGATTCAAGGAAGGAAGTTGTCTCTTAGAAAGGAAGAGGACTTACTCTCCAGATGGTAACCATAGTTGTGAAGCCACTGCTCCCAGATCCCCTCTCTCCAGAAATCCACAGCTCTACAGGGTGCCCCTAATGCATCCCTCAGGCACCAACAACTCACCCTTGGCAGTGACACGGCAAACGCCACACTGACAGAAGCAAAGGAAGACTGGTGTGTTGAAGAACAGAAAGTGCTGGCTAACGAGTCCTCCAACCAGCCCTGGTGCCTGGGAGGAAGCATCCTTCCAACAACACAATGTCCTACCATGGGATGTAGAGTAACTGACCCCTTGGATGTCTTCCAGTTCTAAGACCCAGTCTTCTAAAGCAACAAGGGGAAGCACATTGGAGGAGAAGCCATTCAGTTCCAGGGACACACATGCAGCCTCTACCCTGTTGACCTTCACAGTCCTAGGGCATCATCATGATTATTTCTAGCTGTCACAGAAGGAATGCATGGCTCAGAATGATCCAAGGATGTGCTAAAGCCGGGAGTAGCAGTGCGCATCTTTAATCCCAGCACTTGGGAGGCAAAGCCTGGAAGATCTCTGTAAGTTCAAAGCCAGCCTGGTCTATCTATAATAATGAGTCCCAGAACAGTGAGAACTACACAGGAGAATCCGTCTCCAGCATCATTATCATCATCATCTACCAAAGCCAGTTCCAGTGGCACGTGCCTAAAATGCCAGCTACTAGAAAAGATTGAGCAGTATTTGTAATTTCAAGCTTATTTGGACAGTTGAGTACGTTCAAGGCCAGTCTAGACAACAGGGTGAGACTGTCAAAAAAGGAGGGCTGAATTGGTGAGATTGTCCAGCATGTGCTAAACCACATGACCTGAGTTAGCTCTCCAGCCCCACAGAGAACCAACTGTCCTCTGTCCTGTGCACACACACTATGGTGAGCATGCACACACAAATAAATATGTAACTAATTTTAACAAGGGCTAAGAACAGCATAGTGGTAAAGCAACTTGCCTTAGCCATGCGTCAGGCCCTGGGTTCAATCCCCCAAACCTGTCAAAATAAATAAATAATAAAAACTTGCCAAAGATAGAGAGCTAGTAAGAGGTAGGGCAGAAATGCAAACCAAGATCGTCTCTACCCACCTGGGCAGAGAGAGAACCCTTGTCCTTCTGGCCATGCAGAAGGGGGAGCGTCAGCCCTTTGCAGCTAACAGCTCTGCAAGGCTAGCAATATTAACTGAGTTCATCTCATACTGAAGTCAAAAGTCCTTTCACATCATAAGCCCAATGATCCAGCTCTAGAGTCAGTCATTCGTGCTTTGGGAGCTGAGAGGCTGATGCCCTATCCTAAGCTCCAAGCAAGGGAAACCCGGTAGGCCCAGAGGGGCCTGCAAAGGCTGTTGACAGAAGCTAGGCTTTAGGATGAGCTTCCGATGAGCCGGACAAACAAACGCTGTTCCAAACAGACCAGAGAGCAGAAGCTGAGGCCTACCTGTACTTAGAGCCTCCTCTGCCATAGTTTCCAACAAGGACAACATTCCATTCTCTGGCCCAACAACTTATACTGATTTACAAGCTACTAACCTTGTGAGGCCTCCCGCCCATCTTTTGTAATGATATGACTGTAGGGGACAAACAATGTTAATCCCAAATGCCAACCCCTAAACTCACTTCCACCAGGACTTCTGCCAAGTCCTTTACACCAATAATCTCAAGTGTGCAACCAGTAATTTTTCCTCCTTTTTGCTGATAGGGAAAACTGAAATTTGGAATTGAAAGTCTACCGAAGGTCATCCAATTACCAAAAGCAGGAGATAGGATTTCGACAGAGTTCAAGCCGGCCTCACAGACTGATCTGTTAACCACTGCCAAGGAGGACTAGGCACGCTGCGCCCTGAACTTTTCTGGGATCCAGAGGCTCCCCAAGGATTCTATGCCCTCTGGAAAACGAAGGGTGGGCCTACACCACACTTGGCGATGAGGGGAGAGAATTGGGAAGTCCGATCCAAAACAAAAGAATTAGGGTGAACCTCGAGGGGGCTCCAGCTACAAAGGGAGGCAGAACTCGGGACTTGAGAAGCTAGAGTGGAGCAGAAAGACCCTCAGTCGACTGGAAGGGGGAGGGGGAGGCGGGGCGCAGGGGGTGGGGCTCTGCGCGCCCCGCAAACTTCATCCAGCCCGGCGGACCCCAGAGGGGGCGGGCCGCGAGAGGGCGGGGCCGTGGGACAGGCGGGGCGTTGCTGCTGGGCTACCACCCCAATCCCCGTCCATACTCTGGCTCCAGCAGGGCTGATCCGGGATCTCGATGCTGTAATCCAGCTCGGCCGAGGCCATAGTGAAGGTGCGGGCCGTCAGCACGGGCCTCCCGCCGGAACTCCCGCGGTTTCACCTCGCCTGGGCCAGACGCCGCCGGGCCACGCCCACTCCCCCGCCCCCGTCCTGCGCTGCCCAATCCCTGAGCCGCGTTCTGTGACCTCCCTCCTAGCAACCACCAAGTCGCTCCGCGCCACCCGCCGCACCCACTAGCCTGACCCTAGCAACCACGCTCCTCCCCTCCTGTCTTTGGCCCACAGCAATTGGCTGTCTCTCTTGATCCAGATCGAGCATTGGTCAGCGGGGCCTGGCTCTCGGAGCGTCCCCACCCTCCTGGGAAGGTAAGAGAGGTAAGAGTAGGTGGGAAGAGTTGAAGTGTTACGGGGCGTCCTCAGAACTTTGTTTTCTCGTACCTGCTAAAAAAACTTGGACTTGCACATCTAACTACGTCTACCTGAATCACCAGCAGCAGTTCACTGGCTGAAGGCAGAAAAACGAATAAAACCGCGTAGGCGGCGCGTGCCGACCCGATCCTCCCACTCCTGGGAGACTAGCTGCCTGACTGGGAAGGGGTCTTCAGGTAATAACTAGTAGCTTAGAAAGGATACAGCCTTCTTGCATTTAGTAAATATTTACTGAACAGCTGTATGTACCAGAGACTGGGCAACATCCAAACCTTTGGGCGTTAGTGAGCGACAACCTTTGGTCCAGCGGTTCTCAGCCTGTGGGTCGCGACCCCTCGTATCAGATATTTGCATTATGATTCATAACAGTGGCAAATTTGCCGTTATGAAGTAGGAACGGAATGATTTTGTGATTGGGGTCACCACAGCATGAGGAACTGTATTAAAGGGTCTCAGCATTAGGAAGGTCGAGAACCACTGCCTTGGTCCTTATGGTCCTATTGGGAGAGAAGAAAGAACCGCTCATGCATCCCCTCCAATCCGATGGGGGAGGATAAATACTTTAGAAGAGTAAGGATTGGAGGAGCTCAGTCCCCAAGAGAAGTAGCATTTATGACAACAGGGCAGTTGTGGAGCTGGGTCTTGAAAGGCTTTTGAAGAAAAGAAAGGTAAGAACTCACAGCTGAAAATTTTTAAAATCTCACTTAATACAGTTGAGGGGTGGCTGGGGAGATGACTTAGCCAGTAAAGTGTTTCCCAGCTGAGCATGAGGAACCAGCTTGAATGTCCAGGACCCAGGTAAAATCTACACAGTAATAACAAATTAATATGAAAAAGAATATAAAGGATCTCTGTGAGTTTGAAGCCAGAGCGAGTTCCAGGACGGCCGGGGCTACACAGAGATACCCTGTCTCTAAAACAAAACAAAACAAAACAAAACAAAAAATGCAAAGGAATAAAAGGGTGGAGAGAGATAAAGACTCCCAGTGTGGTGGATCCAGATGCAGAACTCTCAGCTACTTCTCCAGCACCGTGTCTGCTTGCACACCCCCACATTCCCTGCCATGCTGATGGTGAACTAACCTCTGAACTGTAAGCCAGCCCCAATTAAGTGCTTTCCTTTACAAGAGCTGCCATGGTCATGGTCTCTTTACAGCAATGGAACATTGAGTAAGAGAGAAGTTGGTACCAGGGAGCAGTACTGGTATTGCTGAGAGGCCTGACCTTGCTGCTGGTGGGGAGAGCGTGGATTTTAGATGAGGAAAGCTATTGAAGGAAAGCAAGAGGTTGGAGCTTAGTGGGCCATCCTAGCAGGGGTATGGAAGACAATGGTGCCGAGAGCAGTGTAGCTCATGACGACCCGGCTCAGGAGGTTATAGAAGAGAAGAACCTTGGTGTGCGGCCTAGCAACCATTCTTGTGATGTTTTGGCAGAGAACGTAGCTGCTTTCTGCCCTTGTCCAAAAAATCTGCCTGAGGCTAATGTAGCAACCTTTCTTTTGAGCCATCAGCCAGCTCCCATGGAGACCAGGGGACAATCAAGATGCTGACATTGGATCCCTCTGGTCAGTGGCAGCAGACCTTGAGAGGGCATGGGTGGGAAGAACATAGCTGTGAGTAAGATATTAATCCTTTGTTTGGTTGCTACCATGCCTAGCTTAATCATCATCTTTCTTTCTTTCTTTCTTTCTTTTTTTTTTTTTTTTTTTTTTTTTTTTTTTTTTTTTTTTTTTTTTTTTTTTTTTTTGCTTTTTGTTCTGTTGAGACAGGGTTTCTCTGTAGCTTTGGAGCCTGTCCTGGAACTCAATTGGTAGACCAGGCTGGCCTCGAACTCATGGAGACCCACCTGTCGCTGCCTCCCAAGTGCTGGGATTAAAGGTGTGTGCCACCACCACCTGGCTTAATCATTTTCTTAAATTACATTTTAGCTGAGTATTGTGGCACACACCTTTCAATCCCAGCACTCGGGAGATGGAGGCATATGGATCTCTGTAAGTTTGAGATCAGGTTGGTCTACATAGTCAGTTAAGGCTATATAGTGAGACCCTATCTCAAAATACTAACAAAATAAAATAAGTTACTCTTTATTCATTTGTGCGCATGTGGGAGTCAGAGGACAACTTACAGGTTTTGGTTCTTTCCTTCCACTTTGTGGGTTCTGGGGATTGAACTCAGGCCACTAGTCTTGCCAGCAAGCCCCTTTACCCACTGAGCCATCTCATAGCCCCTTAGCTATTTATCCTTGATAAATAAAACAGGTCTTTTGGTGTCTCTAGATGCCAGCACAAGGGTCAAAGGTACATACAGATGAGTGGCCTCACCCTTAAAGTATCAGGGGGTTTTAAATAAGGATATAGGACAAGAAACTTGGTTGGGCTTTAGTGAAGAGACACCAGTTACCCCTCTCAATCCTTGGGATGTGAGGATATAAGAGGCCACCAACAATGACAGCTTTGCAGGGCCCAGGACACTTCAGAGCTGGGCAGAGTGGCTGTGAGGCTGCTGAGAATGGAGGAAGAATTGCCAAGGGCAGAGTGAGGAAACCAGAAGAGGAAGAACGACAGGAAAGGAAGATGAGGGTTAATGGGAGGGGTGAAGCCTAGGGAAGGTCGGGGAAGTGTGTCTGTGAAGCCTTGGAAGGGGTTGGGGGAGAGTGTGTCTGTGAAACCTTGGGAGGGGTGAGGAGAGTGGGGGAGTGTGTCTGTGAAGCCTTGGGAGGGGTAAGGAGAAGAAGAGGAGAGTGTAAGGAAATCTGAGCTGTGTTTTTCAGGAGAGCTGGAGAATAGCTCTGGGAACAGAATTACGGCAGAGTGAGTCTGGGAAGGAGGAATGTGGAGCGTTCTGCACTGCCGATGTTTGTATGTTCATGTAGACAGTAAGCCATAGGATCTGAGTAATAGAACTGAAATTTTCTCTTCTTTGATGTTTTTGTTTTTACCTTTTGAGGCAGTGTTTCCTCCTGTAACCTTAGCTATCCTGAAACTTTCTGGTAGTCCAGGCTAGCCTCAAGCTTGCGCTGAGCCTCTCATCTCAGCCTCCCGAAGGCTGGGCTCCAGGCATGAGCACTGCAGCTGACTAGGAGCTGAAAATTCTTAGCACATGATGAAAACATAGCTTAAGTACGATTGTGATGAGGCAGGTCTTTAATATTGGCACCTGGGAGGCAGAGGCAGGTGGATCGCTGTGAGTTCAAGGTCAGCCTGGCTCATGGAGAAAGTTCCAGAACAGGCACCAAAGCTACACAGAGAAACGCTGTGCCAAAACAACCATGCACACACACACACTCACAAAGAATTACCTAGATTAGAGGTTAGTTTCTGGATATGCCTGTAAGGGACTGTCAGGATTAAATTCATCAAAACAAGACCTATCCTGACTGTGCACAGTACCCACTCAATGGCCTGGGATCCTGGACTGAATAAAACAGAAATCCAGATGATATGATAGCCCAGCACTGTCTGTTTCCTCACCGTGAGTGTCGCCTGCAGCTCCTGCTTCTGTGGCTTCCCCTTTGTGATGGACTGTACCCGCAGACTGGGAGCCAAAATAAGCCATCCCTTCCTTAAGTCACCTATGTCAGGCATTTTGCCGTGGTAACAAGACAAGTTACTGACACAGCCCCCAAGTAAATTCACAGGAAAGGGTTTAGCTGAGGTCTTGACAGGTTCCAAGCGTTCCTTTGAAGCTTTGAAAACACAGGGCTAAAGCCATAGCTCAGTGGCAGAGTACTTACTTGTCTAGTGTGTGCAAGGTCCTAAGTTCAATCCCCCAGCACCACTTAAAGAGAAAGTGTGAACCAGGATGGAAGTTCACTTGGGAGGTTGAGGCCAAAGAATTTCTATGAGTTCAAGTCCAGCCTGGTGTACAAAAATCCAAGCCAGCCTGTCTCATGTGAAAACCACAGCCCTGCGAGGCTTGCATTATCTGCGGATCTGTTAGAGAAAGACCAGATTGGACACCTCTCTGACGAGACTAATTCCTAGTGGGGAAGAACTTCAAGTGGGTCTCTCAGAAGGGATTCCAGAAGGCTCTGAGCCATTGAGGGTGGCAGCTCCATGGTCTTCCTGTCCCGGAGATGGGGATTCAAGGTGACGTGGGAGAATGATAATGATGATCCCAAACCTGTGCAGGCCCGGGCATAAGTGTGAGTGTGTGCACACATTTGAACTAACACGGCTGTAATCCTAGGATTCCAGAGGCTAGGCAGGAGGATCACAGGTCTCACAAGTTTTAAAATTTATTATTATTAGCATGTGTGATTATGTATGTGTGGGCACACATATGTTCTGGTGCATTTGTGGAGGTCATGGGACAATTCTGTGGAGTTGGTTCTCTGCTTGCACATTCCTGTTGGTTCTGGGACTTGAACTCAGGTCTCCAAGCTTATGCCACAAGCACCTTTACCCACTAATCCATCTTTCCAGCCCTCAAAAGCAATTTTTTAATGGAGAAGGCATATAGAGGGATGGGAGAGACTCGGCTCCCTGGGAAAGAATGCTTGCTGTACAAGCTTGAGGACCTGAGGTTGAATCCTAAGAATCCATTAAGAAGCTGGAGTAGCCACTCTCCAGCACAGTGCAGGGCAGAGACAGGAGGATTGCTGGGGCTTGCTGTCCACCACCTACTTCCAGGTTTAGTGCGAGACCCTGGCTCAAGGGAATAAAGCCTTTGAGAGCGCAGACATGTGACTGGCACATACATGCTTCTAACACACACAGATGGGGGAGCACGGAAGGAGAAGAAAAGAAAAGGCGCATACAGGGCTGAGGTTGTAGCTCAGTGATAGAGTGTTTGCCTAGTATGCACGAAGCTCTGGGTCCCAGAACCCTATAAACTGGGCATGGTGGACCAAGTCTATCTATAATCCTTGCACTCTTGGAGGTAAAGGCAGGAGGAGCAAACATTCCAAATCGGGGCTGGAGAGATGGCTCAGTGGTTAAGAGCGCTGACTGCTTCTTCTGAACCCATTGACCTGGGTTCAATTCCCAACACCCACATGGCAGCTCACAACTGTCTGTAACTCCTGCTTCAGGGGCCCAATGCCCATGGCGAAACACCAATGTACATAAAATAGAAATAAGTCATTTTTTTTCAAGTCCCAGATCATCAGGCTGGAGAAATGGCTCAGCAGATAATGTGCTGACTGTACAGGTAGGTTTAAGCCCTGGAGTTCAGAT